GGTGGGGCTGCCAGCGGGCGGGGGGCTCTGCACCGTGCGGGCGATCCACGTCCCGCAGGGCTGCGCCTCTCCCTGATGTTTCGCCTTGGCCATCCGAAGGTCAAGGCAGGCTTCACCCTTTGCATCGCTGGAAGAGCCCAGCAGTAAAACACGTTTCCTGGGGCTCCCACTCGCCTGTTCTCCCTCTCCGCCATGGAGATGGGTGCAAACCAGTGAGGTAGTACCCGAGTCTGGTTCTGCGTGAGATTCCTCCATTCCCATGCACACCCCAGCGTTCTTCTCCTCCGTAATGATCCTAACGTCTTCTCTTCAGACCAAAACACGAAATTTTGCAGCTGGGTAGAGGTATTCCTTATTTAGAGAAGAATTACTCAATGAAAAGCCAAGCAGGGAGCTGGTCAGATATTTCCTTCCGTCTGTGTGCCTTGAAAAGAGCATCTCTCCTCTCTTGTTTCTCACTGTGTGTACACAAAATAGCCATCAATACCTATAGCTTGTAAAAACTGGAAGTAGAGAAATAATCCTGTTCAAACCCAGGAAACCTTGCCAGCCTGTGAAAGGAGAAGATTTCCCACCGAGGTTGGGGGGGTTGGTTTGTCCCTATGTTGGAAAACAGCCTTTTTGCCCAAGCGTGAAAAAATGAGCTCAAATTCAATCACTGTTAATTAGAAATGCTTATTTGCATCCTTCTGGTACGTCCGTGCCCTTTCCCAGTGATGCCAGTTCCCCTCTGTAGGTGAGCGACCGTAGAAGTGGTGCGAAGGGAGGGGTTCCGGGACCGACCTGCGCAGCAGCCTGGGTTCGGGTGCGGGCGCTCAGCGCTGGCGGCCGCGGCCGTCGGAGAGCTCGGTGCGCGGCCTCCACCCGGGCGCCGCAGGAGCTCTTCGGGGGGTGTCAGCCTGTACGTTTTTAGCAGCTTCACCAGGCCTTTATGGGATGAATTTGAAGGTGAACTGGAATTATCGATAGCCGGTAACCACGAGCGTTGGTATCGTTTTATGGCAGCGTACACGGTTGTCACTTTTTAGCTTTATCGTTAGAACCGAACTCTCAGCCAGCTGTGTGTTAAAATAGATTTGGTAATGGAAATTGTGCAACATTTTCTTCCATCAAGAATTTTGGGCTTTGAAAATTCTCTTCTCGGGGTCGTGCTGCTTTTGATGTCGCGTTAAACATGCAGGAATTGTGTCGTCAGGGAGTGCGGATTTCTCTGTATGGAGAAGTCCGAATCAGTGATGAGAATACCTGCATTCCGCTGGCTATCACCAGCCACAGCTGCCAGTATTTTTACCTTTTAATGTTAATACAGTGATAGGGAACTCTGGCTGAAATCCCTGTCTGTGACCTGTCTGTCTCATGAAGTCTTTCAGTTAATGTTTCCTTGGCTGCTGCTTAGGGAGGATTTGCTCTGTGACTGAACTTTCAGCTGTGTTTGTCTGTAGACCTTACACTGAAATTATGGTCTGAATTTCGTGAAAAAGCGATTGCCTGATTAGGCCACATCTAAATAGTAATTTAGTACTAATCTAAATAGAGCTTTAGTAATGTTTCACAGACTTAATTTATTTTTTCTGTTGAAATTCTTTATTAACATATGACATCATAGCCATACCTTTTAACGTTTTATGTTGAAGTCATGTCAGAATCTATTATCTGTAGTGTTTATTCTATCGTGGTTCAGAATTGTATGCTAGTATGCCATATAGTTTTATTTTCCAAATCAATCATGCTTTTGCTTCTAAAATATTCCTACCAACAGACCATATTCATTTGAATCCAAAGTTATGTTTTTCCTACTCGTTAAGAGTTTAAAACCCAACAGCTGTAGCAGTGAGCTGTTAGAGGTGAGCTCCTTGTGCCTGTAACTCGTGGTGTCCCCCAGGGTCAGTACTGGGCCCAGTCTTGTCCAACTTCTTCATCAATGACCTGGATGAAGAGTTAGAGTGTACCCTCATCAGTTTTGCTGATGACACCAAACTGGGAGGAGTGGTGGGCACACCGGCAGGCTGTGCTGCCATTCAGCGTGACCTGGATAGGCTGGAGAGCTGGGCAGAGAGGAACCTGATGAGGTTCAACAAGGGCAAGGGCAGGGTCCTGCACCTGGGGAGGAACAACCCCAGGCACCAGTACAGGCTTGGGGTGGACCTGCTGGAGAGCAGCTCTGCGGAGAGGGACATGGAGTGCTGGGGGACGACAGGGTGACCATGAGCCAGCAGCGTGCCCTGGCTGCCAAGAAGGCCAATGGGATCCTGGGGTGCATGAGGAGGAGTGTGGGCAGCAGGGCGAGGGAGGTTCTCCTCCCCCTCTGCTCTGCCCTGG